CACCTGAAACTGCGATCTTCCAACCTTTTAGTATCGTGTCAATTGGTTACGCGCGAAGGAGAGAGAGCAAGACGGCGCTCGAGTTGTTTGAAGACGCGAGAGTGCGCGAGCGTGTCCGGTGCACTCTCTCTGCTCCTTATGTGTCCTATCAAGTGCAGCAGTTTCTATTCTACGTCATTCACCGATCAAAATAGTCTTTGGCGGGACAAAAATTTGCTTTGGCAGACGCCAAAAAGCGGACGATCTGACGGTTTTAGAAGATTAACAACCCGAAACTAAAAAACAGACCTGGCCTCCATTTGAGACCGGCTTTTATTTACACAAACCTGCAGCCACACCAGGCGTGTAAAAGAGACAGACTATTTGGGATTCGCTATTATTTGAAGTTTTACTTTAAATCTCCTAAATCTCTGACCCATCGTCTTTTTCCTCGTCTAATTTTCTGCCGTTCTACGTACCGTACGTCATCTGGTGTCATTGAACCGATTGGCTATGAGCTACGTACAGACGCGTTTGATAGACATTCGTAACACCCAATAATGCGGCTCCGGGCATTCATAAACCACGCCTCAAACACGAGAAAATGAACATGTCGTTTCTAGACAACGTTTCATTCTCAATGAGACGTGGTCTGATATCAGCAATCACCTTCAGCTTTCCGCCAAAGTCAACTCCATGGTCAGATTTAGATAAGAGACCAAACCATGGACGAAACAATGGATGGAGACGCAGCCGGCCCATCCCGGGAATGTGCCGACCCGTGGCCCCACCTATATTCTGAATAGTGACTGAAAAGTGACCCCGAACTCATCTCCAGTGGAACTCTCCCAAACTCTCCCTCCAACGTCAACATCTGCGAAGTTCCGTAGTCTTCGGGTCTTTAAACAAATGACGGTGTGGAAAGGGGGAAGTGAACGTACGGACCCAAAAGACGGGGGGTGGCATGTTTTGGACGGGGGAGTTTTGCCAATAATGACCGATCAGCCTGCGGCACCACCAGAAATTCTAGATGTAGTCCGCTGTAGTTGCAAGAAAGACTGTGGCACAAAGAGAAGAACATGCAAAAAACATGGACTCCCTTGCACTGCCATTTGCAGGGAATGTCGTGGTACTAGCTGCACGCACAAACTCACAGTTGCCTGATTTATCTGATGAATATGAGGGGAAGAACTAAGCAAAGAACAAACCGGGAACTGATTTGGGTATGCCAGAACCAAGAGCCACAGAGAAGGGGTCGAGGATAAAATAAAATAAGAGAAAACCAAAATTAAAAAACACCCAACCCTCCCCTGAGGCTTGTGTCCCTCTGTGACCCTGAAGACTATACCGGCGGGGGTTATACCCCTGGCAGGCAGTTTTCAGGTTAGAGGCCAGTCTAAAAGCAGCATTGCCATCACCCATCGGCAGTAGGATGATTGGATGAAGATTGGGCCGATTTGTCATACTGTCACAGAACAGAATGGCACAGACGGGTGAGTTTGAACAAGGTTTATTGAATGACAGTCACAGGATGGTAAGTAGCGTGCTAGTTGAAGTTGATGAGAGTATGGACAGTCTGATGATGTTTTCCTTATCTGAACAGGAACGGATGAATGGAGAGCTGACCGGAACAGCGGAGCTTGGAGACTGAAGAGGACTGGCAGCAGACGGGGACCAGGGACCGGAACAGACGGGAGAATGACGGGTTGGAGGTACAATGCAGGTAAGTGGTATCAGGAACGTAATGTAGCGATAGCGAGTCTGTAATCGTGGTTGAGACGAGACCAGACAGTGAGTGACTGAATGAGGTGAGTATATATGGAGTGGATGATAGTCCGGATAAGTGATGGCAGGTGGTGACGACAGGTGATGATGATTAGTAGTCAGGGGAACCGGAACGAGTGGGCGGAGTGCAGGTATCTGGTGCTGACGCAGATGGATCCGTGACACATACATATGAAGGGTGTTTCTGCCTATGCAAATTATGGCATATTCAATAAGTGTATAGCTCATGTGCATATTCAAATTAATTTCAAAAGAAACTTGTAATACAAAATAAGTTACTTTTACTTTGTAAAGTTTTATTGTGGTAGGAATGAAGCAAAAAATTAAGCCCATTAGGGTGTATTTTGGACATATTCGATGAGTGTATAGCTCATTTGCATAATAAAATTTTTTTTCAAAGAAACTTCTAATACAAAATGTTTTACTTTTCTTGTAGACTTTCATTGTGTAAAGTTTTATTGTGGTAGGAGTAAAGGAAAAAATTAAGCCTATTTGGGGCATATTCGATTAGTGTATAGCTCATTTGCATAATAAAATTCATTTTCAAAGAAACTTGTAATACAAAATTTGTTACTTTTCATGGATACTTTCATTGTATAAAGTTTTATTTTGATAGGAGTAAAGGAAAAAAATAGCCCCATTGGGGTGTATTGTTGTCCGGCCTTACTGGCACACATCTCGGATTGATGCGAATGAAACATATTTCCTCAACTAGGATTTCTTAGGACTTTTAGTATGTTGTTCTGGACACCTCATCGAAATGATCTATGCTGAAAAATATTCTTTTACAATTAGTCTGTCGTAAAACGCTACTTTGCCTGGACTATAACTCGCGTGTCGGCACACATGCTCACACGCGCTCGCACATTTAGGGTCTGTGCTCATTTTCAGTGTTTCATTTAATGATGTAAAATGATGGTTATTCAAGATTATAGTACTTCTCTGTATTTGTGAAGTGATAATGAGAACAGAGAAAATGATTGATATTTTCTTGAATGTGTTTTATTTTGGTTTTTACTCCACTATAGGTTCACGATCACCCTGTAAAAATATCAGTGAGCAGACTCTCATGTCTCGTGCTGCTGACGTCTTGAGCAGCGTGATGCATTGTGTTAACCTGCCTTTGTTGGTGTTTGTCCCAGACCCAGTAAAGCGCATCTGTGAGTAACCATCCACCTGATCTCAGTGTGATCACATCTGCACAAGAACACACCAGGGGTGTATTCCAGAAAGCTGGGTTAATTAACCATCAGATTAACCCTAAACTCTGGGTTGATTAACCCAAAACCTGCTTACTCTGGGTATGTCGGTTCCAAAACACCTGTGTCGAGTTAGTTTAATCAACCTACTGCTCATAACCTCGAGTTAATGCGCGCGCCCGGCGAACATATAAAGGCATTTTCAATGGATCACCGAATTCAGGAGTCACCATGGAAACTAAGGGTGAAAAGTCACGTGCCGCGTACTTCTCTGAAGGTGAATTAGAAGTTTTAATGTTGGCTTATGAGGAGTACAAGCCCATTATCATGAAAAAAAAGCAACACAGCTGCATACGCAAAGGAAAGACAATTGGCTTGGCAAAAAATAACTGACAGAGTAAATGCGTACGATTTTATTTTTATTTTTTTTACTTTTTTAATATGCTTGCCTTTCTTTTGTTCATTTGCAAAGTTGAACAATTGTCTTTTTTAGCATGTGGCATTACTTGACAAGCGTGTACTTTTCTTTACATCAGTTTCTTAAGAATACAGTACAATGTATATTGTCATGAAATATAGGCCTCTTGTTTTATAAGGTGTAATCCTTCTGGAGCCAAAAGAAGTCTTTGCCAAGTCAAAATGAAACACAAAAATATTCTTCCAAAAGGTAATATTTTATTTTAATTGTTTTAAGATCGATGTCTAAAGTTACTTTTACAGTATTCTTTCTATATAGCTAATAGAAAGAAGGCTGAGGCCCGTCTAACTGGCGGGGGTCCACCTCCACCTCCTCTCACTCCATCGGAGGAGTTGGCTCTTTCTCTTAATAAAGGTCGCCCTGTGGTCGATGGTATTCCAGGTGGGGCACTTGGTCAGAATTTGCTTCCTCCCACAACAACTCAAGTGACTTGGTACAATGTAGGTATACCATAGTACTTGTGATTATTTAATCATATGTTTGGACAAAACAATCCTTAACTCTTGTCATTAGAAAGAAGGCTAAATGCTTCCCAAATGCAGTCATTGTTTCACTTGTGCATTATGGATGCATATGAAGAGTTCAGATGCAAAAGCCTCTAAGTGCCATTTGAAAATTTCTTCTAGAATGATCATTTTTATCAAGCTTGTATATTTAAGTTCAGTGATTTCACTTAAATTGCAATGATAATTACCTATTAATTGTTATTTAAGTGAAATTACTGAACTTAAATATACAAGTGTGATAAAAATCATCATTAAAGAAGAAAATTTCAAATGGCATTTAGAGGCTTTTGCATCTGAACTCTTCATATTCTCTTTTTCAGCATATGCTGTATGTATACAGTAATCTGTTTTTATTCTTGCATGTTCCTAATGCCTTTATTCAGTGTCTGTCATACTTTAGTCATTTACACATTGAGTGTCTTTTTTTTTCTTGCAGTTGCTGATGGACGCATTGTATTATTGGATCCTCCTGAAACCACACAGTCTGTCACAATTGTTAGTGATGCATTTTAAGAACCAGTTGCTTTTAGATCTTTCACTATGTCTGCCAGACAAAGTAACCTTGCATATTTCCACTCTAGGATGATGATGAAGAGACCACATCTGCTGTGACTGAATTAGAAAGTGCTGGGAGACCCACAGAGGTATGATGCATATATTGGACAATGCATAGCTTTTTAGATGGACTGAAAAATGTGTAATTTGGCCCGTGACAGAATGTAGCTGGGGATGTAAATGCAGATGAGGGTCCAACTACCTCTACATCTAATCTTAGCAGTGTAAGAACTTGTCCCTGGTTGGCTGATTTTCTTTTTTAACCATCTTATTTACTTTGCCTTCCTAGTTGTCTGCAAAGGAGCTGTATAAGGTCCATCTATTAAGGCAAATTAAAAAAAGTGACATGGACATGGACCTTATACAGCTTCAGCAAGAGGAGAAAAGGCTGGCCATTAAAAAGGCCAAACTTGAAATCAAATTGCTGGAGCATCGCCTTAAGGTGAGAATCATATGTGAACATGAATCTTTTTTTTTTTTTTTTTTTTTTTTCATGTGTGTGTATAAAGCAATTAATACAAATCTGTCATGTCTCTTTATTTCAGGATCTGGAGAAATAAAAGAAATTAAATAAAGTGATTTTGACAAATCATGTCTCTAAGCATTCTGCCATCTCTGTGGTCTGCTAGATTCATTGGGTGTTGTTCTAGGTCCTCTTCATCGGGACAGGGGGGATGCCTCTCTCCTCTTATTGTGGCAATGTTGTGAAGTACCGCACAAGCGACTGTGATGTCACATGCCCTATTTGGAGTGACCCTGAGCCCACGCAGACACTGAAACCTCGCCTTCAGAATGCCTATTGTCATCTCCACCCTGGCCCGTGTTCGGCTGTGAGACCGGTTGAAGCGTGTCTGTGGTCCGGGCTCAGGATCAGGGTAGGGTGTCATCATATAGGGGAGGCAAGGGTATCCTCTGTCCCCCAGCAAGTAACCATAGAAGTTGTCCTGTAATGTTTGAGGTGTTTTGTAAATGTAATAAAGACTACAAGCATTTGTCCAACAAAACGTACCCTGCTCAAATTTGTTGCACAGAGATGACTCTCTAAATATTCTGGCGTCATGTACAGAACCAGGCCATTTTGCCTCAACATTAGTGATGAGGTGGGTTGCATCACATATTACCTGTGGAGAACAATAAGTTTATTATTGGTAACCCCAATATTAAGTAACAAAAAATATAGCTATTACCTGCACATTGATGCTATGCACAGACTTCCTATTAACATAGTCTCCCTCATTGATAGATGGAGCTTTAATAGGAATGTGGGTGCCATCAATGCACCCAATCACGTTTGGGAACCCTGAAATAAAGATTAATTACGAGTTTAAGAAGTCTGTGTAACCTTTTACGTGCATGTCCAGTCAAAAAATAAACCTATTAAGAAATGTCATTTTATTGAAGTAGATGACAGACTTTTTGAGAGTGTACCTGCCACCCTGTGGAATTCTTCTTCAATAACGCGCACAGGTTTATGGCCAGGGAACTGTACAAAAGTGTGTAGAAACCGTTTCAGTGCCATGCATACTGTACGAACGGCCCTACACACTGTTGCCTTTCCCACATGCTCTGCATCGCCCACATTGTAGAGAAAACTCCCCGTACCAAAAAAGCGCAGAGCAATACAAAGAATATGTTCGGCGCTAATCGCTGACCCGCGGTTTGTCACGTTTGCGATGTGTGGTTTTAGTAAGTTTGTTAAATAAATTAACGACTCCCTAGAAAAACGATAGCGCTCATGCAAATATTCGTCAGGATATGAAAAGACATCGATACGTGGTCTTATCACCCTCTCACGGCGAAAAAAACCCCGTATAATATGTGCCTAGCTACGTCCACAGGATCCTCGTCAAAAGGGCACGCCATGCTCTGAAACCTCTCTGAAACAAACTAACCCTGCAACATAACCTACTCCGGAGCAGGTTATCTTCAGAGAGTCAGTTGCTATGGTTACTTACATAACCCGAAAGTTACTCTCGCTTTTGGAACCGAAAGCAGAGGTTATCCGCTTACTTACTCCTAAACTTACCCGGGTAAGTCACATAACCTGCTTTCTGGAATACACCCCAGTTCACATGTGTATCATGTTTGCTTTTGTGTTTGTTTTGTTTCGTCTCTCGCAAAGTTAAACCTGTAAACCACCCCGACTAATATCGGTATCGGCAAAAGCCAAAGGTGCGGCATCGGTGTCGGTATCGGAAGTGAAAAAGTGGTATCGGGACATCCCTAGTCACAGCGTGCATATCTTGAAGTATTGAAGGGGAATTTTGTTACCATATTCCCGAAGACAATAAAGCCTGTCAACTTCCACTTAATGTTCCACTTCCATTCCTTTAGCACCACCATAAAGCACAATTAAAAATTGCTGTAGATTGTACAGCAAAATTCTACAGAAATGTATTGTTTTATCATTTTACAAGTTATTACTGTAATTCGCAATGCATTATGGGTCAAAATGAGTATTACAGTTGTTTACTGTATATTTCCCTGTCAACTGTAAATTGATTTACAGGTAAGAGGTACCAGATAGCAGTTACGTTTGGGCCACATGTGGGTATTATCTGGCACATATGGCCTAGATGTGGCTTGGCTGAACAGATATGGGCCAAATTGTGGCCACATTTGTTCTGCCATAACTTTAAAATCTGCGGGAAATGCTCCTTTGGTTCACAACTCGCTTTGAGGTATATGGCCCAGATAACAACGAACACATGAGAACCATATGTGGTTGAGCTATGGCATACAGTGAAAACACCGACTTGTGGTAAACATTTGGCATACACGCGGAAAAACACAGGAATCCTGGAATCAAGTGCGGCTGACATGCGCCGTTCCACACCTCAGGTTGCTATGCATCTTCCCTCCTATTGGTGGAGAGAATATACAGCGCCAACTTCTCTGTACGGCGCGAAGTTGTCTGAGACGCGGGCACGGGCAAATGCAGCGGGCGGCATTTCTGCTTTCCTCACGACTGTGTACGTTCAGGTAAGTGATGTTTTGAGACTTTAAAGTCATATAAATGAAATTTGCAGCATTTTGTATCAATATTTCATGTTATTAAGCGTTTAGTTATTCGTTTAATTGAGGAAGGGGTCAAATTAGCTAATATTTTCCTCAGTTTAACAAAATGTTACTGTATAGGGGTCCTCTGGTTTGCCGTTTTAACGTTAAATTCCGATGTTATTGATATAAATCAACACGTACACATATCGTATGTCTTGTTAATATTAATTGTGAATTCAGGCGACGCGGTCTGACGTCGGTGTTGTTATGTTCGTCAAAAAACCTTAACGTTAGGCCCAAATTTGTGTTCACAATCATTTAACTAATCATATTAATAATAATAATAATAATAAAATTCCAACAAGAATTACTACGTTACATTTATATGTGTACATTATTGCATGTATTTTATTTAAATCTGAAAGGATCAATACTTTTCCCACTTTAAAATTAAATTGTACGTCAGTATGCTGTGCAACATGAACAAACTCATGATTCCTGTCTTGTGTTCCTTGTATTGTGCTACTTTTGTCATTTCCTGTCTTGTGCTGAGTCTTGTAGTCCTATGTAGCAAACAAGCTTAACTAGGAAATAATCAAACAAGACACACTTGGGGAGACTAAATCAACATGTAAAACTACATAGGACTACAAGACTCAGCACAAGACAGGAAATGAAGTATACACAATAGAAGTGGAACACAAGACAGGAATCATGACACAAACAATGATCTGCTGTATTTCTATATTTCTAGTTAATGTTAATACACTAACTTTTGTTAAAAAATGAAACCTTATTGTAAAGTGTTATCAATTATAAAAAAAATAAAAATAAAATAAACATTTTTCTTGACTGCTTGTTCATGCCTTGTTTTTTTTTTACCATTCTCTGCCCTTTATTTAAAATAAATAATTACGTGCCACAGTGTGGTCACGCAGAAATGTTTGCAACAATCACATTATCAATTATGTTAACATTCTCTAACCTTTCACAAATACGAACCCCAACCTGTCAAAACCTGTGGGTGCTATGACTGAACTCTTATTTCATGATTGGGGATGGATTTCATGATTGGATTTCATCATTGAGTAATTTAATCGTTTTTTAAAAATAAAATTGTATAAGCACAATATAGTTTTTTTTTTATCTTTGTTATTTAAATAAGCAAAGATGCAAATAATAAGCAATATGACAATTACTATAATAAGAAAGATACAAATCAAATAAACAGTGCTTCAAATTTTTTCATACTTTAATGCTCCCAAAAGTAAGCGTAGCCTTGATGAAACCAATTGAACTAAATGTGTCTCTTCACTGTACATGTTATATGATGTGCTTATAATTGATATCATTTTAACTAAAATTAACTAAAATTCTGCACTTAATTAGGGGCCAAGCACCGAAGGTGCGGAGGCACCTATTGTATCTGTGCCGGTTCTTATTATTATTATTATTATTATTATTATTATTCTTCTTCCGACTGGGCGTCTATGGCAGCCCCATAGACCGGTTTGCGGGAAAGTTGTTTTGGTTTGACATTCTGATAGAGGACAGTCCCAACTTTAAATACACCAATTTTGGTGTCTCTAACTCATTCCCTCTAGCGCCACCAACTGTCCAAAGTTTCACTTTTATTATGCTAATAACTTTTGAACCGTAAGGCCTATCAACAAAATTCCTTTTTCCTCTTGTTCCTGAGCTCATGGCGATTTGATCGCACCCTATGACGTCATTTTCCGTCATAAAAAAACGGCCGCCATTTTGAATTTTCCAAAAAACCTACTTTTGCGAACTCGTCCTAGACGGTTTGTCCGATTTTCACCAAAATCGCACCGGATCATCTCCAGCCAGTGCTGACAAAAAGTTATGGAATTCAAGATGATTCGAATAACCGTTTTTGATAAACGCGCAAACAAATTTTACGTAGCGCTTGCGAAAACAGACGTGAGGCGGTATCTCCGCAACGCTTACTCGTTTTCAGACCAAACTTGGTACGTGTCATCACAAGCATGACCTGAGGCTACATGCTGCGTTTCGGCGCAGCGCCACCTAGTGGTCCGGAGATATAAAAAATGGCTATTTTTGCTCATAACTTCTGAACGGTTTCTCCAAAAATCTAAAACTTGGTCTCGTTAGATTCAGGGCGTCATGCCGAGTCGACCGATATCCAATTTTCCCAGATCGGCCATTTTGGCTGTCGGCCATTTTGAATTATGTGCTAAAATGCTGTATTTTTTAAACGCATGAACGAATTGTTACGAAACTCGGTATGGGTCATCAGTACGATGCCCTGAAGGAGACTGAGAAGTTTCGAAACAGCGCCACCTAGTGGTGAATTGTTTTATTCAAACGCTTATAACTTTGGGTGTGGTACACTTATTTTCACGGGAGTCATATTTTTGATGTCCTGAATCGTTGCCGAGTCCAACGATACCAAATATGTCGGGTTTCGTCTCACGGATGGCGTAGCGTAGCGATTTAGCGCGAAAAAAAACACTTGGCGATATCTTCAAAACCGCTGTTCCGATCGAGACGAAACCACCACCAGAAACACGGAATCATAGCTTGTTAACTAAACGCTAATGCCCAAATGCGAAAATATTGATAGTAAGGGGTAGTAAAATTCAAACAAAGTCATGTGTCAGTCATTTTTTACGTGTTTTTTCATATAAATGTTTATAACTCGGAAGCGAATTGAGATATTTTCACCAAAATTGACACACATATGTAATGGGTCACTCTGAGGACACACACAAAAAATTGTGGGACTGAGCCTCTTGGTGGCGCTATAATAGAACAAAATGTGAAATTCCCATGGACTTCAATACAGTTTTGTGAAATACAATGCTATACTAAATAAATGCTTTGGTATAACATTACGAAACTCAGTGTGTGCCATAAGCAGCATGCCCTGAAGGTACTCAAAAGATTTTGAGACAGCGCAACCTGTTGGTCAAAAGTTATAATTAATTTCTGAGAACGCTAATAACTTTTGAATAAATTTGCCTATTGCAATGAAACTGATCTTAATAGATTCCTTGGGTTATGCCGAAAACATAGATATCAGGTTTGCCATAATCAGCCAAACTTCCTGTCCGCCATCTTTATTTCTTTTAAAAACCTTCTTTTTCGAACTCCTCCTAGACCGTTTGTCCGATTTTCACGAAAATTGAATCGTATCATCTCCAGACCATGCCGACTAAAAGTTATGAATTGCACGATGATAGACAAAACCGTTTTTGTATACCACAGCATCAAAGTTGAGGCATGCTGCCAAAATTACTATTTAGGCTTTATCTCTGCAATGCCTTCACATTTTGACACCAAACTTTGCATGTGTCATTGTCACCTCACTCTGACCACATCACATCTATTTCGTAACTGCGCCACCTATTGTTAGAAAGTGATAACCCATTAAATCGTCTTATAAGTTAATGTTTATGTGATTTTCTTAGCCATTTGCCCAAAGTTATCTCAAAATGCCCTTAATTGCTCCTTGCTGCAGTTGGTCTGCCACTC